CATTTCTTTTAGATGGTAGCCTTCTATTCTTTACAAGCATATTCAACTTAGAAGATCCAACAATAAATTTAAAAAGATCCTTTTTGAATATTGTATGTTTTTAGCTTGTAATGTTGTAACCTCAGATAGTTCATTTCTTGTGGTTTTACATTTGATATTTTGGATCTCCTTAGCAACATTTGACAGATCATTTTTGAGTTTTTTATTTTATAAAACCATCAATTTGTATTTTTCTATAAATTTTTTATACTCGAGTAATCATGTGAGAGTTTTCTAGAAGTGTCTCACTCTTCTTCATTATAACTATTGTTTGATCTCTTAGAGAAACTAGAATGAGAGCTAAATTTAGATTGTACTTCAATCCTTATTTGTTTTGTGTCTACCAAAAGATAAATGTTGGCTTTCTCATCGCCTACATTGTTGCTGCTACTATCCAAATTTTTCCATGTGGCCACCTGACTCTTCTTGACCTTATTTATGCTTGACCTTCCTTTTCAAAGTGTAAGGCATTCAAATTTCATATGTCTAGGTTTCTTACACTTATAATAGATGATCTCCTAGTTGTTTTCCTTAACAGATTTCTTAAACCTATCTTTCTTTTTGTGGAAGTTCCTCAATCCTCCATTCTTCTTTAACATGTTCTTATACTTCTTAGACATGAGAGATATCTCATCATTCATTGAGTCTTTAGAACTTTCTTTTGAGTTGTTGTACTTAGTCTCCATCTTCAAAGCATTACCATTATCCTTTTTTGTTGGTTTCATCATCCTTTGAGCAACAATGTCATTTGCTTTCATATGATCTCTATTGCTCAGATGGACTTCATGAACTCTTAGTGCTCTCGAGAGTTCATCCATCATAAGATTTTTAAAGTCACATGCCTCTTAGATGGTGGTGGCCTATGGCTCCCAGCCTTTTGGAAGGTTTTCCAAGATCTTCAAGTTGTTATAAGCTTTGGAGAACTTAGTTCCCATATATTTTAATTCACCAAGAATAGTTTGAAATCTTCCAAACATCTCATCAATGGTTTCGTTCTCTTTCATAGAGAATAACTCATAACTCATAATCTTTCTAAAGAGTAGTAGATCTTCTGAGCCTTACATCTTCAATTCCTTCATGAGTTACCCTAATGGCTTCCCACATCTATATAGTAGCATCACTATTTGTGATGATCTTCTAGGAGTGATATTGGTGGACTTTAGGCATGGCAATCTAACCCGTCCCCGTGGGTACCCACCCGAACTCGCCCCGATTTGGATGGGAAAAACCCGTGTTTATCGAGTTCGGATTTTCCTTGATTGATAAAATCGGGGGCGGGGACGGGGACGGGGATGTTAACACTCGCCCCGCCCCTGCCCCCGTACCCACCCCTACCCCCGCCCCGCTTAATAATATAATTAAAAAACTATATATATATATAATTAAAAAAGTATTTATATATATATATAAACCAAAATTAGAAATATTTATATGTAAAAATTTGTATTATTTTACTTTTCTTTTATACTTTTAAAAATTTGTTCACATTTATTTAAAAGAAAAAAAAAAAGAAATAAAAGGTAGGAGCGAGGGTGGGGGCAGGGTAGGGAAACCCGAACCTTGCCGGGGACGGGGATGGGTACCCAGATTTTACTCCCAGCAGGTATCGGGAGCGGGGGGGGGGGGGGGGGCGTAAAACCCGCCCCCGCCCTGCCCCGTTGCCATGCCTAGTGGACTTAATGAACATCTCCATTTTGTCTTTCTCATATGGGTACTCTTCCCCAAAAAAAGGCTACAAACCTTTTAAGATAAGCTTCTTCTAGTGAGTATTGTCCTTCATTGCTTCTCATTTTAGGGTCTTTTTCTTTAGCACACTAGGATGCTGAACCCCCTCAAAGACTAAGCTCTGATATCAATTTGTGGAGAAAATAAAGACATTAGAAGGGAGGCTTAATAACGTCAATTCAAAACTTAACACTTTCGAAAATAGTGAAATAGTAATGTAAGACTGAGAGGAATACAAACAAAGTAAGAAACAAATAACACAATATTTTTATATTGGTTCATCTCAACCACTGAGACTACTCTAGTTCTTTATCAACTCGATCAAGTTTCACTATCTTTCATGAAGAAACAAGTATTCTTTTACAAGTCATTTTTTACTCAATCTAAGTATTATTTGACTTGCCTCTTCAAGCAATTATCCAAGTATTCTTTGATTAACATAGCCTTTTCAAGCTTTAAAACCAAGTATTCTTTTTACAATAAAGAAATTAGAAATGAACTTATCTCTAAGTAAAGAAATTATAATTTTGTAATTCAATTCTAACTACAAAATAAAATAAAATAAAAAATTAATAATCATTACCAATTCGCTTATAAATAGGGACGGGTGGGGAGACCTTCAAGAGAAATTGAGAAAGGAAGAAGAGAAAGAGCACGAGGAATAAAAGTGGAAAAAATCCTTTTACTTTGTATTAAACTATCTCTAATTAGTTTCATTTTTCTAATATGGTAAAGGGAGGAAAATTTTATCCCTTTTAAATATTTTATATTATTATATTTATTTATTTTGTTATATCTATGTATATTTATTTAATGAGGTGTCTCTAACCATATCCACTTGTTTAGTCTATGATACTTTTAACTCTAAATAATCATTGAGGTGTTTCTAATTTATGTTGTTTAATTATTTTATGATATTTATAAATGTCATTTAACTAGTTTAATATTCTTAAACACATCTCATTTCTTTAAACTATCTTGTACTAAATTCTAAATAATTAAAAATATTCTAAATCGTTTAGTTTAATTATTTTTATATTATTGCTAACTATAATCTAATTATTTAGTTAATCGTCCTAAGCTCATCTTATTATTATAACATCATTCTTTTTAAAGATAAATGTTAATTTATGGTCATAAGAAAAATAAAGATTTAAATTAATTTATAGTTGGAGGTTTGACCTTAGGGATTTAAATGAGTAAAACTTTAAGGTGAAATATTCTTTTGTTATTTGAGATTATGATATAATTTATTTATCCCGACTAATCACTACAAGAATAATTCAAATTTCACCACGAAAAAAAAATCTAAAATACATGATTAATATTGATTACAAATAATTCTGTACATTCTATTTATTTATTTATACTTATTTGATAATTTTTCTCACTCCTTATTTTTCTTTGTTTTAAAATTAAAATAATTATGATACAAAATAGATGGATCTTCCAATAATTCTAAATCCTTTTACGATTGTTATTTCCACTATTTTTCTTGATGGTAGTTGGACTGTCAACACAATATATAATTCCATCACTTTCCATGAAATAGGATTGTCGACTTTTATATTTTCCCTAGAACAAGAGCCTTCTATACCATTATTGATGGACCTATTATAGTTACTTTCTTTTTACCACCTACCGATCATACAAATCCTATTGTAAGTTTATTTCCACCTTCAATGTAATCTTATAGTAAGAATATGACATAGTGAAGGTATGAAGGATAGATTGTACAAAAATAAGACTCATTTCCTTCACGTACTTGATCAAGCTAAAATAAGTACGTTATTGTATATATATTTTGGAATAGTTTTTGATATATATATAATGTAACTATATGTACATTAGTACATGAAATTTTCATGCTAATTTTATAAATATTAATTTATAATTGAATTAATAATCTATGAAAAAAATGTTATACATTTAAGTTTTTAATTATAAAATTAGACGTTACAAGAATAATATTTTAGATGACTTTGCACATTTCAAGATATTTGTTTGTTCTTTCTTTGATGAAAATCAAATCTTTGTTCCCTTTTGAAGTTTAAGTACTAAAGAAGCTTTTATTCCTTTGATTTGTTAAGGAATAAAATATAAACAAATGATATGATTATTAAATGTAATAAATGACATATTTTATGCATTCGTCTTACGTAGATGAAATGTTTCATTTGAAAGACTTATTGTCAAAATGCATGTCATTATAACCAATTGTCTTATGTTATTATTTTTCTTGTATGATCTTGAAAAATGTTTGAGTTTGTTAATATTAAAACATATATTACTGAGGAATCTAAGATTGTCCTTTAATCTAACAATAATAATATGAGATGATGTATATTAAGAAAAAGGAAGAAAGTTTATCTTATCCTGTTACTTCCTAATTAACCTAGCTCCCTTCTTAGGATAAAAAATACACTAGACCACCTAGATAGGATAAGGGATAAGATAATTGATGGAATCATGCATAGGGATCCAATCCAAACAAAACCAAGAGGAGTGAGTTAGGATTTAAGGTAGAAGGCCCAAATTGATTATGAACCTTGGGTTATCTTTTAGTCCATTTCCTTTTCTTTGTTAATAATTTCTTATAATATTTTTTTTATATTTATTTTGACCTTGTATTTTGGGTCATATGGCTTAAGGAGTTATTTCCTTGTATTTCATTTTGGGTTATATGGCTTACTCCCTAAGCTAGCTTAGTCTATATATAGACTCCTTCGTATATATTCATGTCACTTTTGGAGATTATATGAGAGAGAATTTAGAATTCTCTTTTCCAAAGGCTTGTTCTATCTTTAGAGAATTTTCTCCTTAAGAACTTTCATCAAAGAATTCCTTCTCATGACAAGTTTTTCACTTGTTGCTTATTCCTCACTTGAGAGTGGCATGCCATTCCCTTTCTATTCTCCCCATATTTGCTTTATTTTCTTTGCTATTTGGTTCCATGGATGAAGAATTAAGGAGTTGGGAGTCTTCTATGAAGAAATCACCAATCATCTTCCTAGAGGATTTCATCAATAACACTGTCGTATCTTGCTAGCACAACAAATAACGAATTATAATAACATGATATGATAATTATTATATCTTACCATATTCTATCTTAGCCACCAAATGGACCATAATGTCTTACGAGACAATCCAATGACACTGTCATTAATAGTGTTTAAAAAGAGTTAAATATAATTAGATTTAAAAAATATGTAAAAATAAAAATTGATAAACTATTGAACATGTAAATCTTCAATTGTTTTTTCTATAAATAAAAAATGTCCAAAATTATTATAGCACGACAAATGTTATCTTTAAAAATAAAATAAAAAATAGTATTGTCAATAATAGTTTACAAGAAAAAATAGTTAACTTGTTGCAGATCTAATGCCCTCCATCTTCAACATTTCCAACAAGAAATCACTCCACGTGTCTATAGGTCCTGGCAAACACCAATGCACACAATCGTTATATAATGTCACATTCTCATGTGGCCAATGTCCATATCTACTTGGATGACCATCTGGTCTTAATAACATTGCTTGTGTTGTGTCAAGTAACTTAAATTTCAAACCCTTATTTCTACCTTCCTTCTCAGCAATCTTAAACTCTTCCAATTGGATCATATATAACTCCAAATTAGTGCCCTCTAAGCTTGTCTCACTACTCCTAAATGGCTTAGTTCTCAAACAATTCCCACCTTGATTCCAAATTCCATTCTCAAAATGAGACGGTGCAAATGTTCTAAGAAATGTTACACCCTTGAAGTTTTCTAAACTATTGATGGCTTTAAATGCAGTCCTAAAAGCCTTTCTATAACCATAGAACATAGTCAAATCAGGGACATCTTCCAAGAGGCAAAAATGGCATCCAACAATTTTTTTCTTCTCGTAGAACACCATTGGTCGGAAGAACCAATGGCCTCCATCAAGAATGATGTAGTCAAATTCTTCAATTTGGGTTGTCCATTTATCATCAAACTCATCCAGATAAAGATTGAAAAGGCCAGTGTTAGTTGGACCATTTGAATCTGCCATTTTGGTTCTTACCAAATGGGGTGTCCAAAATGTTGCCATGGTGAAGTTGTAACTTGGGTACTTCCATCGCTTAAAATATTCATCATTAGTGTAGGATACATCTATTGGCCATTCCACCTGAAAAGTTAAAGAAAACCAAAATTCAATAATTTACAAATATCAATGAAAACAAAAGGCTGCACAATTCACAAAGATGTGTACACTCCATAAGGAAATTAAATTGAATATCTATAACCTAAAGTTTAAAATCTAGCTTACTTGTTGAACATAAATAGAGAGAGAGGACTCAAAGAGATAGCTGAAAGAAAAAAGATTATTTAAATTCTTCCAATACACCGTCTATGCTGTTTTAAAAGGATTATAGTATGGGTTTATCATAATCTATGTTAGACAAATATAATATACTACTATGTAATTACATATTAATCAATTGCACTAACTCCAAGAAAGTACTAATAGGTAATTTCTATACTTAATTTGAATCAATTAATATCCGGTTAATGATAATAAAAAGCTTACATGATTTGTGAGGATATAAATTTTAATCTTATTGTTATTGTAATAACAAAAATAATTATATTTGATTTTACAATTTTTTTATCAACATATCTTATAATTATCGAAATTTATAAAAGAATTATACTTTTTGGTAACATAAAAGAATTATACTAGCTAGTATATACACTTAAAATACAATAGAGCGCTTTAATATTTAGGCATTAGAAAATAAATTTTACACTATATATATAATAAAAAGAAATACATGTTTATCTATCGAGATTAATTAAGATACATCTTAGTGATCATATTCAGATTCAAAGTTAATTTTACCTAACTGTAAAATAAACAGAAGTCCTCAAACTATAAATAATTCTAGAGAAATCAAAACACAAAATTGATTGTGTTTACCAATAAAATTATACCAATGCATGAATTTTTTGACACATAAAATGAAAAGTTAAATCAGGCCAGAATGCAATTAGACCCACAATTTATAAATATTTATTGATTGCCTATTATATTAGTTGAACTTTCCGTGGTATTATTTAAGAGAATAAAAAGTATTGCAATCAGGCCCCATTTTCTCACCATTAGTATTTTTTATTAATCATTATTAAACTTTCAATAAAATTATTTTCCATGAAAAAGAACACACATTCTTAATTTAACTATCTTAAATTAATTATTTAATTATATTTTATTTGAATATAACAAAGATAGGGGCAACCGGACAAGAGAAAACCCACTAAATGTCAATTTCCCACTCCTAAAATTATGTTTAATTCAAAGTGATATTGCTTGCAATTTATGTACTATGTACTATGTACTGATTTTAAATCTTATAAACTTAGCAAAAGTCCCCAAACATTCTAAATTGTTACGTAGTATTTTTGTAAGTAACATCATATTTATAAACATTGCGATTCGTGCCAAATTTTCTTGTTCCCACTTCCCAATAGGGTGCATGTTACAAACTTGAAATCCAGCCCATAGCTAACTAGTACTACTATATATTTATTTGTTAATAACGAAAAAATTGACTGCTAATATATTACGATATGCATACAATTTTATGAAAATGTTGAATGCCTTGGATTGGTGTGAAGGGAAGAGAAAAATAAAATAAAAATAGAATGACAAATATAATAAGTGATTTGATAATAAAAAAAAGACATAACAAAATTAATAATTAATAATATTTTTAAAATTAAAAAGGAAGATTAAATTATTTCCTTCTTAGAATTATATACATATACTTAATATCATTACAAAATTAGTTTGTAAGATAAGTGTATTTTATTTATATAATTTTTGTTTGTTTTATATCTAATTTATGTGAGGTTTGAATTTCTTTTAATATATTTTTTATATTTAGTATTATTGGATTTGATGCATGAAGAGATGTATTGGAAAAGAATTTAAGTTACAAATTGCCTATAAATAAGACAAAAAAAAAATAGTCTTAATTTTACAAATATCAAAATAAAACATTTCGAAGTGCGAAAGAAAAGGATAAAATTGAAGGGAAAAAAATAATACATGGTTGCTTTATAATAGATGGAATAATTATATGGATTAAAAAAAAACCTTTATTCTCTCTATTATTTAAAAAAGACAATTTATTACAATATTAGTATACAACAAATAGAAGGTGATAATACAGAAATTCAATTTTAGCATAGTTATCTACTTAAATAATTAAAGGGCCCTCATTTGGTTTTGTCATTTTGGATTCCACAATCAATTATTCATTTTTCACATACAAACAACAACTTAAGCCCAAAGGATTGGTTGGTTGGATTGTCAAACAACAGTGTGCATCACTTCCTTTGGTTTAGTTAGATTAGTCAACAACTACCTCACTCTTAGTTTTGCCTCGTGCTTTTTATTTATGATTAATGATATTTGTAAATTGAACAAACTTTTATTAATTTAACATTTTTGCAGAGGAGTAATTATAAAAAATAAGTATAATAGATATAAATTATTAAATCATATTTAGATAATGCAAAATAAAAAATAAATATATTTGACATTCTTTTTTTAATAATGATAGAAAAGATTATAAAAATAGTCGTAATAAGGATTATACTTAAATCCTCATGTATAAATTTATAGTTCATATATAATAAAGAAAACTTCTTACTTAATAGTTTTTCAAAATTTTATAATCTAATTAATATTTATTAACCATTAATATTTATTGAACTTAAAAATAAAATTTTTTGACTCTTTCATTAAATTAATATTTATTAACCATTAAATTTTAATGTTAATTCATATTTAAATAATATAATTTGATAATATGATATTTAAAATAAAAAATTATAAAATACAAATAAAATTTATTAATAAATAAATATTTATATATTTCAAATATATACAAATAATTATTTTTAAATTTTTATTATTACATGTCAAATCATTTAAATAGTAACAAGTTTCTAAACAAAGTCAAAATTAACAACATCAGATTAATATAAAAATAAAATTTTATAATTTTTAAAATATAAAATTAAATATCTTTATTTTAAAATAAAAAAATTAAAATTATACATCAATAAAAATAAAAAGTGTAATTTAGATTATAATAAATAATGTGATAAACAGAAGATTGAGACTGGAGATAGAGACAAAAAAAAAATTGTTTTCAAATTATGTTGCACAGATAGACACAATAAATATGAGATAGACACACAATAAATAAGGTAGTAATAAATCAATTTGTGTTAACTTGGACTTCCAATAATGAAGTCAGTGTTTTAGACTAAACCATACCAAGGGAGAAATAATTATAATAATATCGAGGCAGAGGAATAATAAATTAATATACAATATGCAGTGGCACTTTGTTTTTTCCTTTGTATTCTAATTCTAATTGTGACGTCTCAACCTGTTCTACAACGTGAAATTTGCTGGGATTCAATAATTAATAGCTGGATTAGTTGACATGATTGACCTCTTCATTGTATCAATACCATCCACATATATTATGCATTGAGCAGTGCTAAATAGAGCTAATAAAAAATTATTATCTCCTAAAATGAATTTGTGTACAAATAGAATCATATTTGTTTTCAATTTTTAAAAATTGTTTTACAGTTGTTTATAGAAATATTCCAGATATTATCTCTATTTTTATATATAAAAGAAAAATAAATAAAAAAGATTTTTATCTAAGATTAGAATCACATATGATACAATTTTATGTATAAAAAATAAAAAGAAATGATTAATTTTTTAGAAATAAAAATATATATTTAATAATTTACAATAAAAGGATAAAATAGGAAATTAATAAAGAGTGGTAAATAATTATAGTATAAAGTGGCATAGATTATGAGATAAAATAACACAATGTTTGTTTTACACCTCATTAGAAGGTGTTCAATGAATGAAAAGAAAAAGGAAGAGAAAAAAAAAGTGATGTAATTTAGAATATAGTTAAAAAATATTTAAACTTTAAAAAAAAATATTTTTGCTGGAACCCAAAAGTAGACAGAAACAAGAACTGGAGGCATAGAAGGAAAAAACACTGACTTTACTCTGTTTCATGTGGCCAGCCTAGGGACAAGGCATGCAACAATTAATGTGATCGACACAGTTTTCAGACCAGAGATTCGATTCCTTTTGGCATGCATGCATGCTTTGATCATTATATCCATGTTACTACTTTTGTATAATTTATTTTATTATAATATTAATAATAAAGAATGTATACTTAGTCATATTTCAGTCTATTATTCTGATTTAATTAATAATTTAATCTTAAGCTTATATTTGAGTTAAATATTTACAAAAAAAAATTACCATTCAAATTATTGTTTGACTCAAAGTACTTTCATCCATTAAAGAAAATGTGTGATTTTTCCATAATGGGCCTAGGTGAACCAATTCCTTTGGAAAAATAACATTTTAAACTCAATGTTAAAGAAAATTATCAAGTGATTATTAAAATATGTAATGCTGTAAGTAATATTAGTTACATTAGAGATTTATGAATGGGTGGTTGAACCTTATTGATGGCTATAATCTCTATGCTTAACAGAGAAGGATAATGATTCCTCCTCACTAGTGTGAAATTCCCATGCATATGAATTACCATTAAAAAGCATTGAAAAGGAAAAAAGTACAATTGAATGAAGGTATATATTTTGGGGCTTAAAGTTTGAGTATATAGAAAAGATATCTAAGCTTAGCTTGCTCAGCAATGAGACACCAAATAACGTAACACCAAAGCAATGTAAAATATCACATAGAAAAAAGACAAAAGCATATAGGAAAAGAACAAACAAGGCATGATAAGAAGACCAATAATAATTGTGGAGCCAGAATTTCAGAATATTTTTCAGGTAGATAAGAACATAGAAGAGTATGGGATAGAGTTTTAGTTGAGAAAAAAAAAAAAAAACCTTTTAAGTTTTATTCACAGAAATTAATTATATTCAAAATCTAGGTATAATTTATTAAATATGATTATCAAAATTAAAGTTTTATCTTAATTTAAATTTTATTGATATATATATATTATTATTAAGATAAAAATTTTACTCTTAATTTGAAAAATAGTAATAATTATATTTAAAAAATTGTATCTAAATTTTACTTAAATGGATAGATATTTTATACAAATAATATGATTATTAAAAAAAAACAAGAGCATAGTGATTGAAACTTACCCTTGAGAGAAGGCAAATCATGGACTGCATCTGATTTCTCCCCACAGAGTCTCCAACAAAGGCCATGGATTTTCCTTTGACAATTTCAAGAAACTGAAAAGGGTTGAAAATGGGGAGTTCACAGTCATTAGGCTTCCACCTCCACTTGATGAACTCAGAATCAGGCCTCCCATACTTGATGCAATTTTGGTGCTCATGAATTGCCCAACATGTTTTGTTTGTGTAATATGGAGCCTTTGGATTTGGCACCCATTCACCACTGAAAATGTCACACTTTTCCACATATGTTGAGGGAAGGTTATTTGAGCCATCATATGATGAGGGTTGTTGCTTATATTTGTTGATCTTCAAGAGTGAGGAGTAACTGAACAAAGGGTAGCTCACTGGGGTGATGGCAAATAGTAGCAAGGCTAGGATTGCTAGGAAGGTAACCTTTGGGATCATGTGTTTTGGGGTGGTGCTCCCAAGGGGAAGTTCAATGTCATGGAACTTCATTTTGGAAGAGAAGAGAAAGGGACAGAAGAGGAGGGAAATAGGATAGGAACATGTTGAAGGAGTTTCTTTTTGCTCTATATATTGGGTTTGTAAAGTGCCTTAAAGTATTGTCTGAGTTGTTCATTTCCTGTTCTGCTTGTGTTCCTCTTTTCTGTTTTTTTTTTTTTTTTAAATGAATATTTCTAATGTATTATATATCTTCATTTATAGTTAAGATGGACATAGTGGCATGATAAATTTCTTTTATCACACTTAGTTAAAATTTATTAAATAAATATAAAATTTAATGAATGATTTCAATAAATTTTAACAAATAAGAGTGAATATGTGTAATGATGAGTATGTTAGTGAATATATTACTAATATTTCTCTGTAAAGAAAATCATATTTTAATAAAAATTAAAAGTTTATTTTATATAAATACTAATTAATAATGTTACTTACGGTGTTTATTAAATATATTATAAAAATAAGTTGTAATAATATTATTATATGGTAATATATATTTTATTTAAACAAGTTAATATATTGCTAAATATGATATTTACTATTAATATATTATTGGTCCCACTGAAATTAGATTCAATTTCTTTATCAAAGTTTTAAATTTGAATAAATGAAAAATGTAGTATTTTTTTTCTTCATTTCTTTCATTCTTAAAGTTTTAAGAGCATAAATATTATTCTCTAAATTCTTTTATCATCTTCATTTTATTTACTTTTCAAAAGTTAAGAAAAAAAGAAGAAATGGATAAAAAAAAATTGAAAGTCAAATTCGAAAAAATGTAAATAAGAGAAGAAACTAATTAAATATAGTCAACTATATTTCTTAGTAATACCTCTTTCTATATATTATTATTATTATTATTATTATTATTACTATTATTATTATAGATAAATTTAATATATTTATATATAGATATTAAATTTTATAATAATCATTTTTTTATTTAAATAATATGTTTTACTATACATAGATTGATTCGAAAAGGCATATGTCTAATATAATACATAAATTAAATATAATTAAAAAAATATATTTAATCAATATAATATTTAATAGTATTATGGAATTCAGATTATATTCAAATAATTGATGTTATAAAAGAACTACTATTTTAAAATGAGTTTTAAATATAGGCTGTTAAAGCATATTTAATATTTTACTATTTTTTAATAATTTAAAATAATATATATATATA